TACCAAAGTCTCCCCCCCCCCCTGCCCCATTTTCTAAATAGTTGTTGGGTCTCTGCATTGCTCCTCATGCCAGGGGTTACTATCCTGACCTGATTATCTTGCTTGAATGATTGCGGTAGCTTTCTGACTGGTCTTCCTGATTCTAATCTTGCCCCTTCTGATCCACTTTCAACACTGTGGGCAGTGTGGCTATGCCCAGGTTGTGTTTCTCCCCAGTCTTAAAAGGCTTCGACAGCTTTGACCGATTACTTAAAATGGGAAAATTTCTCAGATCTGCCCGTTTCCTTTCCAGCATCATCTCTTGGTGTCTTGATTCTGTCTTCTGCCTCTTCCCCTTCCACTTGTCTAAGCCTTGTTCATCCTTCGAGTCTCACTTAGTCTCACGTCGTCCTTGAGTGTCCCTCCCGCTCCCTGTGTTCAGTGCTGTTGCTTTATCTCCCTACTGTGCCTTCTTCTCTCTCCCCGTCACCTTCTTGTAGTTTCTTGTTGGTCTTTGCTGCTAGAATGCAGACTCTGGAAAGGGCAGCGGGCTGTAATTCACCATCGAACCTTTCCACCTACTTTGGTGTGTGCACAAATTAAGTATCCGATAAATACTTATTGCTTATGTAAATCAATAAAGGAAGAATACCCATTTGGGGATCAGATTATTTCTATTGATGTGCTTGGAGTTTGAGTTACATTATAGTTTATATTTATATCTATATTATCACATATATAATATTGATACTAATACACAGTGCTATTGAAAGAGCTAAGATATTAAACACAGTAATACTTTGCTTTAAAAAAATATTTTCAGAATCATCTGAGAAAAATGTAATGGATGAAGAGCACCTTACTCTTATTGAGAAGGTTGAAAAGAAGAGATGTGAAATACTCAATAAATGTGACGAAATTCAAGNGTGAGTCACTTAACATCTCCCTCTCCTTTCTGTACTCCTTAAATACTGACATTCTTTGGAGTCCAGCATGTCTAGAGATCACATGTTCTTCATTCCAAATCTATTTTTTCTCCCAAAAAACTCTTTTTGGAGCTTGTGATCTGTATATCCAAGTACCTACAGGACGTGGCCATGCGAGTGTCCCATAGAAACCCCAGCTCAACATGTCAAAGATGAACCCCACCGTCTCTCTCTCAGTTGGCATCTCCCTGGCTTTTTCAGCAGACGGCTGCACCAAACACACAGAAGCCTAAGTCAGAGAACGTCTGGCAGGCCTCGTTCCCCCTCAGCCACTTCTGACACAGCTGGAAACAAGTGGCCAAGCTGGGATTCAAACCCAGGTTTTTCTCACCTCGATACTATGTTGAACTCATTATCGACTTCCCACAACATCTGTTTCTAGCTACAGCCAAGTGAAAACCTAAAGGTTATTTTGGATATCTACCTCTCCTCTACATCCCAATTACCAAAGTCTCCCCCCCACCGGCCCCATTTTCTAAATAGTTTCTGGATCTCTGCACTGCTCCTCATGCCAGGGGTTACTATCCTGACCTGATTATCTTGCTTGAATGATTGCGGTAGCTTTCTGACTGGTCTTCCTGATACTAGTCTTGCCCCTTCTGATCCACTTTCAACACTGTGGGCAGTGTGGCTATGCCCAGGTTGTGTT